AGAAATTGCTCTCAAGCCGCATCGCCGATGCATCAGCGATGCGGCGCGATCCTGACCCATCTACTCGAACCTAGTTTGAGAGGCCTCGAAGGGAGGAGACCAGATCTCGTTATCCCCGATGTTGAAGCTGCTTCCCCCCTCCCCCTGATAGGATTTCCACTGCAACGAAATCGCCTGAGAGGTCGCTCGCTGGATGAGGAGGAGGAGGAAGCGGAGGAACAGGAGAGGAAGAGGACTGGCCTGGCAAGCGGCAAGCGGCAAGCGGTGTTGCGCTTCAAGCCCCTGCGGCCCCAGGCGGCCGGGACGAAATCGAGCACCGCATGAGGGTGGGGGGCGGAGGAGCGAAGGATGCGAAGGAAGACGGGCGGGAAAATAGGCACAACCCGCCGATCCTGCCCAGGACCATCCTGGGCAGCGGATCTGCGTGTGCGCCCCCCCTGGCCTGGCCGGGGTCGGTGAGGCCCGCGGATCGGAACGCACGTCGGATCGGGCTGCATCGGCACCAGATCGGATGGGCATCGCCAGGATGCGCAGCAGCGCAAGTGCGAGCAGCGGGCCGCGTCGCATCGCAGGAACCATCATAATCGCAATCGCGCCGGAACGGGCTGGCCGGGATCGATACCGAGTCGGTTCGATCGGGAGGGCGTGAGGGGGCGTGAGGGGGGAGGGGGGACGAGAGAGGAGAAGAGAGGAAACATGGGAAAAAGTTGCACCCACGCCTGCAGAAGTTCTCCTGAGGACGAGTGGGTTCCAAGCTGACGGCGCGCACAAGGGGCGCTGGCGCGAGGTTGGCGGTCTTCTGCCAGTGCGGCGGGGGCTTCTCTTAGGTCGGGCCTGTCCCCCTACAGGCCGAGCTTAAAGGAAAAATCAGAAATACTCGAAAATACTCAGAATCACTCGAAATTGGTAGAAAAATCGTCCCCAGACTACGTCCCTACCATTTCTGAACATTCCTCCTGTAGAGGGACAGGCCCGACTTGCGGCTTCTCGGACGGCAGGGGCCCTTTCAGAGCGGCCCCGACGCTTCAAAAGAAGCCCTCTCGGAGGCCTCCGGGACCTCCTGGGAAGGCCCCTGCCGCTCGAGGGGCCCCCCCGCGCTCCCAGAGGGCCGCCACCCTCGTGGAACTCCGCTCCGCCTGCACGCAAGGGAGGAACCCCTGGGCAGGAGGGACCAGTGGTGCGCGGCGTCAGGGGACCGCGAGGGGGGCCAGATCCGAGCACGCAGGCCAAGGCTGGGGGGACCCCGTGGGCCCTGCACCAGGTCACTCCGGCGAAGGGCGGGACCCGCAGGTCGGATCGAGCCAAAACGTGAATCGGACCGGGCAGCATCGGCACAGGCTCGAAACCCAATCGGCTCGACAGCGCCAGGGTGCACAACAGCGCCATACAAGCATCGGGCCGCATCGGATCGTCGGTGCATCGGCATCGGATCGGAATAGGCCGACGGGAATCGATGTCGAATCGGATCGATCGAGTCGACATGGACCCTGCAGGGTCAATAACCCGCGTAGCCGACCGTTGTGCGCGCCGCCAGTCCAGAGCGCGGGCGTTGCCTGTGCGGCTGCAAGCTCAGGCCCACGCAAGAGAGCCCGAGTCTCTGGGGGCTCTCTTGGCGCCTGAGCGGCGCGCAGATATGGAAGCACTACTCATGACACTGAACAACTCGCGGCAGCTTCAGCAGCCCACAATGCTAAACCAACGCCCATGCGTTGCGAACCCCTGCTCGAATTTATTCTCCGCGTGGATCGCAAACATGACAACGACCTCGCGGGGTGAGCCCTGGGCGCGCACGACTCCGTGGGCAACGGGCGCCTCTGTTCGCGGAGGCCCCCTCCTCGTCGTCGTCGTCATCGTCTTCGTCGTCTTCGTCGTCGTCGCCGACGTCGCCGTCGTCGCTCTCCTTGGTCATCGTTCGTAATCGTTCGTCGTCATCGTTTTCGTCGTCGTCGTTCGTCGTCATTCGTCGTCGTCTTCGTCGTCTTCGTCGACGTCGTCGTCCTCGTCATCGTCGTCTTCGTCGTCGACGTCGTCGTCGTTCGTCGTCATTATCAACGACGTTCGTCGTCGCCGTTGTTCGTCGTCGCCGATCGTCGTCGCTCGTCGTCGTCGTCCGTCCTCGACGTCGTCGTCGTCGCCGTCGTCCGTCGTCGTCGTTGTCGCCGTTCGTGGTCGCAAGTCGTCGCCATCGTCTTCTTCGACGTCGTGGTCTTCGTTCGCCACCGTCATTCGTCGTCGTTCGTCGTCGCTCGTTGTCGTCGTCGTCTTCATTCGTCGTCTTCGTTCGTCGGCGTTCGTCGTCGTCGTCATCGTCGCCGTCGTCGTCGAGTCGTCCAGAGTCGTCGGTAGTCGTCGTTCGTTGTTGTCGTCGTCGTCGTTCGGTCGTCGTCGTCGTCATCGTACGTCGTCATTCGTTGTCGTCGTCGACGTTCGTTCGTTCGTCGTCGTTCGTTCGTGGTTCGTGCGTTCGTTCGTCCGTTTATCGTCGTCATCGTCACCGTCGTCGACGAGAGTCGTCGATAGTCGTCGTGCGCTGTTGTCGTCGTCGTCGTTCGGTCGTCGTCGTCGGCATCGTTCGTAGTCGTCGTCGTTCGTCGTCATTTGTTGCCGTCGTCGTCGTCAACGTCACCGTCGTCGTCGTAGTCGTTCGTCGTCGTTCGTCATCGATTGTAAGTGTCGTCCTCGTCGTTCGGTCGTCGTCGTCTTCGTCGTCGGAGTCGTCGTCGTTTGCCGTCGTCGTCGTCTTCGTCGTCAGAGTCGTCGTCGTTTGCCGTCGTCGTCGTCTTCGTCGTCTTTCGTCGTCGCCGTCGTCGTCGTCTTCGTCGTTTGTCGACGTCGTCGTGTTCGTCGTCGTCGTCAGTTCGTCGTCGTCGAACGTCGTCGAAATCGAAAACGTCCTCGTCGTTCGTGGTCGTCGTCTTCGCCGTCGTCGACGACGTCGTGGTCGTCGTCATTCGTCGTCAACGTTTCCTCGTCCTTCCTCGTCGTCGTCGTTCGTCGTCGTCGTCGTCGTTGGACGTCGTCGTCGTTCGTCGCCGTAGTCGTTCGTCATCGTCGTCGTCGATCGTCGGCGTCGTCTTCGTCGTCGTCGATGCGTCGTCGTCGTCGTCGCCGACGTCGTCGTCGTCGGCGTCTTCGTCGTCGTCGTTGATCGTCGTCGTCGTCGTCTTCGTCATCGTCGTCGACGTCGTCGTCGTAGTTCGTCGCCTCCGCCATCGTCGTCGTCGTCTTCATCGTCGTCGGTTGCCGCAGTTTGTCACCATTCGTCGGTCTTCGAAGTCGTCGTTTTCGTTCGTCGCCAGCGTTCGTCGTCGACGTAGTTCATCGCCTCCACCATGGTAGTCTTCGTCGACTTCGTCGTCGTCGCCGTTCGTCGTCGTCGTCTCCGTTCGTCGTCTTTGTCGCTCGTCGCAATCTTCTTCGACATTGTCGTCGTCGTTTGTCGTGCGTCGCCGCTACCGCCGCCGTCGCCGTCGTCGTCGTCCGTCGTCTTCGTCCGTCGTCCTCTTGCGTCGTCGTTTGTCGTCATCTTCGTCGTCGTCGTTCGTCGGTCGTCGTCGTCGTCCGTCGGCCGTCGAAGTCGTTGTCGTTGTCGTTGTCGCCGCCGTCGTCGCTGCCGTCGTTTTTGTCCCCGTCATCGTCGTCTTCGTCGTCGTCGACGTCGTCGTCGTGCGTAGTCGTTCGTCGCAACCGCCGTCGTCGCCGTGGTCGTCGTCATCTTCGTTCGTCGTCGTCGTCGTTCGACAACGTTCATCGTGGTTTACGTCGTCGTCGTTCGTCGGCGTCGTTCGTCGGTCGTCGAAAACATCGTCGTCGTCGTCCTAACCGTCTGCGTCCTCAAGGTCGTCTTCGTCCTCGTCGCTCACCGTCGTCATTGTCGTTTTCGTCGTCGGCGTCGTCGGCGTCGTTCGTCGCCGTTCGTTTCCGCCGCCGCCACCGTCGTCGTCGTCGTCGTTTGTCGGCGTCGTTCGTCGTCGTTCGTTGTCGGGCATCGGAGTCGTCGTCGTCGCCGCCGCCGTTGTCGCCGCCGACGTTTTCGTCGTGGTCGTCGCTCGCCGCAGTTGTCGGAGTCGTCGTGCTCTTCGTTCGTCGTCGTCGTTCGTCGTCGTTCGTCGTCGTCTTCGTCGTCGTCGTTCTTCGGTCGTCGTAGTCGTCGTTCTCGTCGTCGTCGACATCGTCCTCGTTGGGGTCGTTCGTCGTCGTTTTCGTCGTTCGTCGAAGTTGTGGTCGTTCGTCTTCGTCGTCGTTCGTCGTCGTCGTCGACATCGTCTTCGTCATCGTCGTTCGCCGCCGTCGTCGTCGCCGTCGTCGTCGTCATCGACGTCGTCGTCGTCTTCACCGTCGTTCGACGCCGCCGCCGCCGTCGTCGTCGTCGCCGTCGTCATCGTTCGTCGTCGTCGTTCGTCGTCGTTCGTGGTCGTCATCGTCGTTCGTCGTCTTCCTCGTCGTCGACGTCGTCGTCGTTCGTCCTCGTCGTTCGCCGCCGCCGTTCTCGTCGTTGTGCTTTTCGTTCGTCTTCGATGGCCGGTCTTCACAATCGTCGTCGTCGCTTCTGCCGTCATCGTCGTCGTCCTCGTCATTTCGTCGTCCTCGTCGTCCTCGTCGTTCGTCGTCGACGTCGTCGACGTCGTCGTCGTCGTCGTCGACGTTCGCCGTCGCTCGTCGACGTCGTGTTCGTCGTCGTCGTCTTCGTTCGTCGTCGTCGTTCGTCATCGGTCGTCGGCGTCTTCGTCACCGTCGTCGTTGGCCGGTCGTCGAAGTTGCCGTTCGTCGTTCGTCGTCGTCGCCGTCGACGCCGCCGTCGTCGTCTTCATCGTCGTCGACATCTTCGTCGTCGGTCGTCGTCGTTCGTCGCCGCCGCCGTCGTCGTCGTCTTTCTTCGTCGTCTGCGTTCGTCGGCGTTCGTCGTCGTCGTCGTCATCGTCGCCGTCGTCGTCGAAGTCGTCGTCGTAGTCGTCGTCAACGTGATCGTCGCCGCCGTCTTCCTCCTCCTCCTCCTTCTCCCCCTCCTCCAGCCCGCGAGGGCGCGCCCCTCTGCCCAGCCCCCCAAGCAGGGGCCAGGCTGGCAGGGCCAGCGGGGGGGCAGCTGGCGAGGCCGCCCCTCCAGCAATCGGGCTCAGGGAATGCGCCACGTGATGCGAAGCTCTCTCCTCCTCCTCCTCCTCCTCCTCCTCCTCTCCTCCTCCTCCTCCTCCTCCGCCTCCGCCTCCTCCGCCTCCTCCTCCTCCTCCTCCACCTCCTCCTCCTCCTCCCTCCTCCCTCCTCTTACCTTCCTCCTCCCACCTCCTGTTCCGCTCTTGGTGGTTTGGCCAGGAAGGAGTGAACATCTTAATGGTGGAGGGACTCATTTGCGGTATCACGTTTTCTCGTGTTCCGCAAGCTTCTTGGCGGGCTCCACGGGTGGGCCTCCTGTCCCTCGTAGCCGCGCTGCTCATCGTGTTCAGGGGGTGCTTCTTTCAAATTACTCTTGTGATGGCGGAAATCCTGGAAATCCCTCCTCCTCCTCCCTCCTCCCCTTCTCCGCCTCCGGTCCTCCTCTTCCTCTCCCTCTCTCTCTCCTCCTCCTCCTCCTCCTCCTCCTCCTCCTCCTCCTCCTCCTCCTCCTCCTCCTCCTCCTCTTCGCCTCCTCCTGTCCTCCTGCCCTCCTCTTCCTCCTGCCCTCCTCTTCGCCCCCTCCTCCGCTTCGCTCCGCGTGACGGCTCCGAGCTGCCGGCCCGGGGCTCGGCCCGGGGGCCGTGCGGGGAGCGGAGGGGCCGCGGCGGAGGCCGGGGCGGAGAGGGCGGAGGCTCCGGCAGTGGGCCCTGGAATCGACCGGGGGCTGCTTGTTCTGAGGCGGTTCCGGCGCCGCTTCGGTGGGCCTCCCTGTTTCCTCCGCCTCGGGCACGGGGCGCCCCGCCTCCCTCGGCGCTTCTTGCCCAGCCGTGGTGCGGCGCGCTGCCCTCCAGCCGCGGCGGCGCCATCTCAGCCGTGGTGACAACCCTCCGAGGGCGACCCCGCACATCCAGCCAGGACGCCGAGCACACGGGGCCCTCGGAAGTCCTGCCAGCTTTCCATCCCGAGTCGCTCTGGTCTCGACCAGGCTCTGACAATGGGCCTTGCTTATCAATCTTCGCGTCACTGTTTTGAGACGGTTCTGGCGCTTTTTTTGACGGAAAGGACATAGGCCCAGGGTTCTCTTTCAATAGGTAACCCTGTCCCAGGTGCCAAGTTCGGGGAGGGCCAGCGAAGTTAATCTGCGATGGCCGGCGAATTAAGATCTGAGAATGTCCCGAACGAAAAGCTTGTGTTGCAGAAATTGTTGAGGAGGTCTCGAGCGAAACGCTTGCTTTGTGGTACAGATTGTCCTCTCCTGAAGACCAGGATTCAGAGGATCTCTCACGTGAAATGCTTGTTTTCACGTGCCCATGTCTTGAGGATGTCTCGAGCGAGACGCTTGGTTTCACGCGTCCAGATTGCCCAGGCAGATGTCTTGCATGAGGACTTGTTGAAGATGTCTCTAGCGAAGCGTTTGTTTTCATGCGTCAAACTCGTCTAGGCGGATGTCTAGGATGAGGATGTGTTGAGGAAGTCTCGATCTAGACGCTTGTTTGCACGTGTCCAGGTTGCCCAGGCGGATGTCTAGCATATGTATTGAGAATGTCTTCAGCGAGACGCTTGTTTTCACAGGTCAAGGTCGCCCAAGCACAGCACAGCCCTCGGCACGGTACATCAAGATCGATACACTCAGCATTGCAGCCTGGCACGTTCCCTGGCATGTGTCGCGGCGCGTCCCGTGACGAGTCCCCCTGGCACGTCGCGCGGCATTTCCCCTGGCGCGTCCCGTGGCACGTCCATTGGCACGTTGCCTGGCGGGTCCCCTTGGCACGTTCCGCGGCGCGTCCTCCTGGCATGTCCCCCTGTCAATTAGCTCTGGGAAACCTACTATGTGCTCAGGCAGCTCGAGCTCAAGATCCACATCAATTCGGTCAGGACTTGCTATATATCGCACAATCGCGGCATGGCACATCGCACTTCAGCACGGCGCAGCACAACACAGCCCTCGGCACGGTACATCAAGATCGATACACTCAGCATTGCAACCTGGCACGTTCCCTGGCACGTTCCGTTGCGCGTCCCGTGGCGAATACCCCCTGGCACGTCGCGCGGTGCGTTTTCTGGCACGTCCCGTGGCATTGGCACGTCCATTGGCACGTGCCGTAGCGCGTCCCCTTGGCACGTCCCGCGGTGCGGCCCCATGGCACATCCACTGGCACGTCGCCTGGCGGGTCTCTTGGGACGTTCCGCGGCGCGTCCTCCTGGCATGTCCCACTGTCAATTAGCTCTGGGGCAGCTAATGTGCTCAGGCAGCTCGAGCTTACGATCGAGATCAGTTCGGTCAGGACTCGGGTGCAAAGGAAGACTCGATCCACAACGCTTTATATCGCACCATCACGGCATGGCACATCGCAATTCAGCACGGCGCAGCACAGCACAGCCCTCGGCACGGTACGTCAAGATCGATACACTCAACGTTGCAGCCTGGCACGTTCCCTGGCACATTCCGTTGCGCGTCCCGTGGCGAGTCCCCCTGGCACGTCGCGCGGAGCGTCCCCTGGCACGTCCCGTGGCACGTCCATTGGCATGTTCTGTAGCGCGTCTCCTTGGCACGTCCCGCGGTGAGTCCCCATGGTACGTCCCCCGGCACGTCGCCTGGCGCGCCACTTGGGACGTTCCGCGGCGCGTCCTCCTGGCATGTCCCCCTGTCAATTGGCTCTGGGGCAGCTACTCTGTGCTCAGGCAGCTCGAGTTTAAGATCTGCAGCAGTTCGGTCAGGACTCGGATGCAAAGGAGGAGTCGATCCACAACGCTATATATCGCACAATCGCGGCATGGCACATCGCCATTCAGCACGGCGCAGGACAGCAAAGCCCTCGTCACGGTACATCAAGATCGACACTCAACATTGCACTTGCCCGTCGCCCAATCAGGTGTCTGTGAAACGCTGCCATGCCTTACATTTCTATATTCCTTTCCGGGTTCGTGGGTCGATCATGTTTTGGGGGGTTCGCTTGTGCCCAAAAAAGACATGGGCTCAGGGTCTCTTCCACATGGTTAACCCCCCGGCCTCGGCTTGCGTAGGGCCAGCGAACATGGTCTGCGATGAGTAACGAAGTCGCGCAGGGCCGGTGAATTCGAAAGCTGAGGATGTCCCGCGCAAAACGCTGGTATTTGAAATCCCGATCGATAAAACATATGGTGGATACAGATTTTAGTTTGTTGCGGATCTCCAGCGGATTTGTGTTGAGGATGTCTCGAACGAAACGCTTGTTTCGTGATGTCGATCCTTCCTCCCCTGGGGACCAGAATTCAGAGGATGTCTCAAAGTGAAATGCTTGACTTCACGTGCCCAAGTCTTGAGGATGCAACTATCGAGCAAGACGCTTGGTTCCACGCGTCCAGGTTGCCCAGGCGGATGTCTAGTATGAGGATTTGTTGGGGATCTCTCGAGCGAGACGATTGTTGTCACGCGCCCAGGTCGCCCAGGGAGATGCCTAGCATGAAAATGTGTTGAGGATGTCTCGAGCGAACCGCTTATTGATAGAAAACCAGGTCGCCCAGGCGGATGTCTAGCATGAAGAGGTGTTGAGGCCGTCTCGAACGAACCGCTTGTTTTCACAGGTCCAGGTCGCCCGAACAGATCTCCAACATGAAGATGTTTGGAAAATGTCTCGAGCGAACCGCTTACTTTCACGTGTCCAGGTCGCCCGAGCGGATGTCTAACATCAGGACTTGGGCAGGATGTCTTGAGCGAAAGGCTTGTTTCACGTGTCCAGGTCGCCCAGGGCGGATGTCTAACATGAGGACTTGGGCAGGATGTCTCGGACGAAACGCTTGTTTTCACGCGTCCCTGGCAGGTGTCTAGCATAAGGAGGTGTTCAGAACGTCTCGAGCGAAACGCTTACGTTCACGTGTCCAGGTGACCCAGGCGAATGTCTAGCATGAGGATGTGTTGTGGATGCCTTGAGCGAAACGCTTGTTTTCACGTGCCCAGGTCGCCCAGGCGGATGTCTAACATGAAGATGTTTGGAAGTTGACTCGAGCGAACCGCTTACTTTCACGTGTCCAGGTCGCCCAAGCGGATGCCTAACAGAAGGACTTGGGCAGGATGTCTTGAGCGAAAGGCTTGTTTTCACGCGTCCCCGGCAGGTGTCTAGCATGAGGAAGTGTTCAGAACGTCTGGAGCGAGACGCTGGGTTTCACGTGTCCAGGTCGCCGAGGCGGATGTTTAACATGAGGATTTGTTGAGGACATCTCGAGCGAGACGCTAAATTTCACGTGTCCAGGTCGCCCACGCGGATGTCAAACATGAGGAGTTGTCGAGGATGTCTCGAGCGAAACGCTTGTCGCAGTAGAGTGAGTCGCAGTCCAACCCCTCCCGTCCGTGGGGCGTCCCCTGGCGCGCTGGCGCGTCCCCTGACGCGTCCCTTGCGACGCTCTGGCGTGACGTGCCCTGGCACGTCCCCTAGCACGCCACTCGGCGTGGCACGTTCACTGGCTCGTCCTCTGTCGCGTTTCCTGGCTCCTCCCCAAGCGTTTCCCCTGCCCGTTCCGTGGCGCGCCCCTTGCAACGTCCCTTGGCATGACGTCCTCTGGCCGCCCCATGGCACGCGCGTTGGCACGTCCCGTGGCAGGTCACTGACACTTCCAGGGCACGTCCCCTGATACGATACGTCCCCTGACACGTCCCCTTGCGCATCCCCATATTGCCCCCCTGGCACATTCTGTGGCGCGTCCGTGAGCCCGTGCCTCGTGTCGTGTCGTTCCTTTTAGGAGCTGAGTCGGAACTTCCCGGAATGGGCTCCGGCCCAGGGTTCTCTTTTAGTTGGTTTTCCCCCCCGCCTCGACTTGAAGGAGGCCGAATGTGTTGCAGACGTCTCGAGCGAAACGCTGGTTCTGCAGAGTTGGGGGATGTCTCGAGCGGGGTCCTCGTGGGGAGCCAGTTCAGAGGATGTCTCAGGCGAAATGCTCGTTTTCACGTGCCCCGGTCGGCCAGGGGGGGTATCCAACATGCTTGTCCGTCGCTGGCGCCCGAAATCCCCCCTGGGTGGGCTGGAACCGTGAGTTTTTACGTGTGCAGGCCATCAGGGGGGTATCCAACATGGTGGTCCCG